TCTCTTACATTCACGATAATTAATTGAAACTTCACAGAAATTAAATTAGTAAAAAGCAACCATAAAGTAAGATCCAGATGCCTGTTATCATTTCTCTTTTGCTTACAGATTTGCTTCCTCTGTTGTTCATCTAAGAAGCCAATGGAGTAGAGAGTATCACTTCAACAGATTAAAGAGATAAGCAAAGGGTTATTTTTAATAACATTTTAGAAATCTCCACAGCAAGTCAGTTAGGCAATGGAGAAGAGCCTATAAAACTGATATCTTGGAAGGATTATTAAAAATTATTACAAGAATTGCAAACCATTCCTTTTTAAGCTAAGCGTAAATTATTGCCAGGAGGATCACTACACTTAGAAGCTCTGTAACCTATCCTGCACCTAAGAATTATAAACACACACCACTCTCATACAAGACTTCTTTCCTTCCACCTTTTTTGGTTGTTTGTTTGGTTGGTTGGTTGGTTGGTTGTTGTTGTTTTTTTTTTTTAGTTTGGTGCCACTGAAGTGCAGTGTAAAATTGTGGCTATTGTTGGCCTCTTTACACACTGTTCCTAATGTGAAAAACAGAGCAGTTTAGAAGGTCAAATAGGAAAACAATATCTTAAGAAAATACCAACTTCTGTGGCTTTGAAATACAGAAGAGAAAAAAACCCAAACCCAAACCAGTGCCAAAATGTTTATCTCCTCGGTTCATGAAGCCATAAAATAAGTACAGCATCGTGAATCACCTCAAAACTTCAAAGCCTGTATGCCCAGTGTACCATTTTAGGGCTATTAAGTTGTACAGCTACTGTACTTCTAGTAAATAGTTACACAAGATTGTAGCAGCAATGCCAAAGATTTCACCCTTGGAACAAAACTCCCTTAAAGCTACAATCTCTACCATAGGCTCACTGTATAAGCTCATAATGTCTCTTACCAACCATCTTCAAGAGATTCTGCATAAAGAAATTATCGATTATAACACTGAAAATGGAAGCTTCATTTAGAAAATACAGTACTCCAAGTAAGATATTAAACTATATACACAGTAAGTGAATAAGGAAATATAATAAGTTAACTCCTTTGACATACCAGCATTTCTGTAGAAAAGCAAAGTAATGGTTTTACTCATTGCATCAGACCATGATGAAAATTCAGCAAACTAAAAAACCTCATTCTGAAGGGGGTACTATATCCCCAAGATGTTATGTAAACTGAGAACATAGGAGTCCATATATTTCAGGAATATGTGATTCAAAAATGAGCAGAAGATTTATTCATCTAAGCTGATACCTTGCCTACATGTGATTTTCAGTGATTTATCCCAATTAAATGTTAAAAGGCTCAATTTATAAGTGTATGTAAAGTCTAGCCCATCACAATCTGCTTGCACCCACCTCATGCACAGCTGCCAGCTATTCCAGCTGGCTGGAATAATCAGAAGGCACAATCAGCGTCTTTCAGAGGCCATCTGTGAGGACTTCAGCCAAAATCCCCATTAGGCCATGTAAAGAGTGAGTCCTATGGGGCATCCTGGGATTTTTTGTGTATATCATAGGACGTGTACAAGATTTTTGTTCATGTCATCTGGCAAATCCACTTATATTAGTGGCCAAGGTTTCAAAGGAAAATTAAAACAAGATTTTATGCACTTGCCATATTATGAATTGCATTATCATGGGAGAATGTGGTTATGACTTCAGATAAAAATCATGGTATATTTAAATATTGAAGATATATTTTAAGGCTAAGTTATCTTTTCCCCAGAAAATGGTTAACACCACCAAGATTGCAAAGCCAATTTAAGCAAGTTCAAACTAAAGCTAACCTAGTTCCAATAAGGACTTAGAACAGTTCTCATCTTCCCAATCAGGGCATGTCTGCAAAGATACCTCAGTTTGAAGATTGCCCTCAGCATGCCTTAGTAACAGATCTCTGACCACATTATACTACACAGTCCATCACAAATTACTATTCATTACTCCATTTTGTAGAATTGTTTCAGTCTTATCTAGTACATCTAATTAGCTGTTTCTTCTTCCATGCCCATCTATTTATATCATCAGAAAGACTGCTGACCAAAAACTATTCTTTAAAGCCTACACAGCAGAATAAACAGCAAACATGTCCCTGACAGTCCCTACACTTATTTTTAAGCTGTATCTTCACTGTTTTTCTGCTCTGTTGATATCCATTTCTTCCTTCCTCAACAAACATGCTTTCAACTCGGCCGCTGGTACAGACTTTGCTCCTTGCTTTCCTACAGCTAAGTGCCTGTATGTACATAAATGAACTTATGAAATGCTTACAAGGCTTGAGAAGTGTGCGTAGGAGAGGCTGTTTCCTGCAACTGCCTTTCTTCTACTGGTAAAAAGCACACTCTCTTTTTAGAAAAAAGGCTGTTTTTATCCTTGATTCTGAAGCTTGAAACCTTAGTAAATTAGCTGTGAAAATAAATGAGTGGAATCCCACAACACTGTTGCACAAAATACTTCACCTAACAGAGAAAAGTTATTTAGTTCCTCTGTTTATGCATATAGTATACAAAAATCCTCTCTGATTAAGCAGTATTGCTTAATTCCTAGTAATAATGGAGTATTCCTAGGCAACATACTTGGAGATGAAAATGCGACCTATGTTGTCAGACACATTTCCTTGCTGTATATTTATTGCCAGTGCATTCCAGCAGAAGGAAAATCTGGCAAGCAAAGGTCCTGTCTTTGAAAGTTGATCAGTACTTCTAAAATGTAGTATCAGTAACACAGTACACTCAACTTTTTCTAAGGATCAAATGAGAGATTTTTATATATATATATATATATATATTTAAGCACCTAGATCCAAATTTACTACTCTGAGGAGCCCCAAATTTAGAGGTACGTAAACAATTGGGCCAGAATTCTTTTATATCAACATTCTAAAACACTTTAATTTCTGCTTTTGCTCATGCATACTGTTCTCCAGGCCACAACACCAAGAATTAGCTAGGTATCCAGCACTTTCAGAATCCCAAAACTCTTTATTCTATCTCTCCTGCTTTAGGACTTTTCTTTGGTATAATTGTTTGTACAGTGCCTAATAGATCAAACTATCACTGGGAAGGGATTTGGGGGTTTTATTTTTTACTAAAGTTCAGTCTTATATCAAACCTCACCTGTTAGAGTACTTATTAATGCATATACATAGAGTCATTGGGCTTGGTTTCTCCTTATAAGCTATTTTGACAGTTAACAGGCAATTTAAATGTAAAATGCATTGGATATAAACAAATAGCTGATAACCTTATATATTTGATTTTCTGATGTCAAAGGCTTGCTTACCAGGCAGTTTTTTGATCATCACCAGCTGTAATTGTCTTGTGACAGTTTCAGAGGGAATTCTGAATAAAAGCCAGATCTGAATTCTCTGACAGCGTTACTTTTTGTCTAAACACATTTCCATTAATTCCACTATCAAAATCAAAAGTCATGGAAGTAAAATATCTCCAGTTGGAAGACATAATGAATTTAGAATGTGATATATTCATGTTGAATATAAACTAATTTAACAGACTTAGACTAATTATACCTCGAAAAATCAATAGGAAAGTAATTTGCATTTATCAGTTTTGATAGTGAATGTCTTTAACACTGTGAACATAAATTCCTTTTTCAAAAGCATTTTGTAAAGGCATGATCCAAAACATTTCTAAATTAACAGTAGAACCTGCCTTTGACTCAGGCTGAAGAGCTGGCCTAAACCACTGTGACTTTGTCAAGAATAAAATTCTCAGGTGATTTCTTATAAGATACAATGAGAAATGAAACACACACAGGTTCTCACTGATCATAGCTGGAGCCCATAAAGTGACATGTGAAAACTGGTTAAAATGGAACACTTGAGGACTGCAAAAGACAAGGTTAATAATTTACCAGGAACAGTCTTGTCAAATTTAAGTGAAGGAAAACAGAAAAATGGCATAACCTGGGTGTAATTCTGTTGAGGTAATGCACTAAGTGAGTGAAAGCTGTGGTGGTCCTCTCTATATCCCTTCATAAAGCAGCTACATAATTTTAATTAAGTAAGTGACCATAGAAAAAACTTAAGAGATCAGAATCCCAGTGAATTAAAAGGTATAAATTACCAGATATGCCTGTATTTTTACTAAGATTAAAGTACAACACATGTAATAAATTTCTCACAAACCTTTAAATCTTATCTAATGGAAAGTAGTCATCTAGACTGAAATTTTAAAAGTTCATCCCTTTAAATGAAAACTACTCCCTCATTTCATTTATATCAATTAATTTACACCACATAAATGAATATGTAACATACATTCAATCAAAAATGTTACATATTTCCCACAATTTTGTAATTCCCTTTGAGAAAAGAGGGAACCATAATGCACCAAAATGATAAAGATGAAAACATTTCTTTCTAGTAGGAAAAATATTTCTAACAAAAATTGCTATTCTGGCTCTGTTTTTCAGACCCACAATTAATGAAAGGTCCGTAGTTTCTGTTCAAAAATATAAACTGGGAATGAAATAATTAATACTAATCCTTACGGGCTTATTAGTGATGCTGAATTTATATCTTACGTTACAGATATGAGAGTAATCCCTTTTTTTTCAAAAGGGATCGAAATAGTTAACATACTTTTATTAGATCACATTGATTAGATTTGACTAGTAATTTGACTAATAATCTCTTTCTACCTTCAATTTTGCTGAGTGTTATCCGAAAAAAAAAAAAAAATTCAATCAAAGAACTGCTCAGTATTATACAGTGTGGGAAAATATCTTTTCTTGAATCAATCTTTTTTCAAAAGTCACTTACTTCCCACTATAGTATTTTATCAACCAATATAACTTAAAATTTGTTTAATGTTGTAAATTTTGTTATCAATGTATTTATACTTAAATGAACAATTTTCATTAAATAATAGGTAGTGGGAAAATCAGTATGCTTTTTTTCTTTTGGTTTGTCATCTAGAGGCTTTTATAGTCCACTGGGGCTTTTGTTTTTCCTTACCTGGAACTCTTTTTGCCCAGTTGATCATGTGCACTAATTCTCTGTCTGCCAGGTTGGTCAACAGGGTCATCATAGAGGCTTCATTGAATGGTCTATTTGGGTCATATTCAGAATAAACTAGCGGTGGCTCAGCTTCCAGCAAGGCACTGACCATCTGTTCTGCCGTCAGGGATAAGGCCGGACTGTTCTTCTTGTTATGTTTAACCACCAGTGGACTTGTCCAAAGGGTGGGAGCTCGCAGCTCCGTTGAAGAAGCCTCCCCATTCCTGGAATCCTGCTCCTCTCTTTGACGCTTTTGTTTCATCACTCGCCCACCTCTGCGGTCTTTCCGGATTCCTAGAGATACACAAGAATATAATGAACTTTTTTTCCTTGAACTTGGCTTTAGTCAACAGCAGCTGCTGTTGACAGACCCCGGCAGCATTGCCTCTTCCTTTATTTTCTGAAGACTTCCTCTTAGATATGGAATCTTACATCGGTGGGTGGAGAGAAAAACTCCTTTTAAAAGTATAGTGTCCGGAACTCCTTCCTAAAATTTAGATCAGTTGGACTTACACAAAACTCTAGACTAGTGACACCATACAGTTGCCTTAGCCTGAGAAAGGAAGTCAGTGATTGGGAATAAACAAATATTTTTTTACAAGTCAAAAGTTCAAAGTATGTCCCAACCTCTAGCAGACAATTATTTTATAAATGAACAGTGATAAATTAATGCTGTTGGTGGACCAAATGGATCAAAGAAGTAGCTCTCAGAAACTAAGGTCACTATCTTAATTAAACATCATCCTATTACTGAGCCTGTGATCTTCATGATGATATAAAAATAATAAAAAAAGGTTCCCTTATAAGATGAGCTTATAGAGCAATAAATAATGTCATATAACTTGATAAACATAAGTAAGAAGAGATAACTGCAACCTCAGAATCTAATGTGGGAGACCTACTGTCAAAAGGCTGAAATAACCACAACAGAATCTTTTGTCGTTACTGTACATTTCTGAAATGTGCTTTGCACTGTAGGACCCTGAACCTTGGGATATTATCAAGCCAGCCATACCAGTTTGAACAACATCAGACCTTACAGTGGAACAAAATCTCCCTTTGTGGAAAGGTTACAAGAAAAATATAATGATAAAGCCCATTTGCACTCCAACCATAAAGGGAAGATTTAGTCTGGCTCTAAGTGGAGGAGTAACAGGCATTTTGAGACTGAATCAAAAACCTAAATCCATCAGCAGGTAGAGGCAAAGAAGGATAACCAATTAATAAGGAAAGCACACAAGGAACTGAGCTATGAGGAGAAGGCAGCTTATGATAGGGCTTATTCTGGATTTCTCATGCAATATGAAAAAGCAGCACTGGTCCCAGTTTGAAAAGCAAAATAAGTATCTACAGAGAAGAAAGATGCTAACCAGTCAAGAAATAAAGAAGAGAGAACATTTAAAACAAAACCGAAACAAAAACAAACAAACAAAAAAAAAACAGCTTTGAGGACTACTGACATTTTCAAGCCTTCAGTACAGGTCTTTCTTATGGTTGGGGAGAGGGAAATATATCCTTTGCTCAGCCCTTTTGACACTATAAAAATTTAAACCTTTAGAATCCCAGTCTTTGTTAGCACCATAGCAGCATTTTCATCTCACATACAGCATGCCTTCATATAAATGTTGGATCATATCAGCAAGGGTCCTTTCCCAATATCAAAGAAACAGGGAGAATCTTTAGATCTGTGTTCCTCTTTCTTCAACTATGGTGAGATTTTCACTGAAGTAGTACTTGAAGATTAAGCATTTTATGTCTAATTCATTCAAAATCTAGTAGGCTTCATGATTCTATTCAATTAATCTATTCAGATAAAATAAGTTCAATAAATCTTTCATCACCCCTATTACTTAAGCTCTCTACATTTTTCCATTCACTAAACTACTTGTAAGCCAAAACTGTCAAGTGCATTGCTGTTGCCATTTTTCATTCAGCAATACCAATCTTTCCTATCACTAAGCAGTTTTTATTGAGCAGAGGGAGGGAGACTCTTGCTATTAAGAAAAAATGCAAGACTTATTTTGGCAAAAAGTCATCCTGCAGATATTCTCATTGGTAGCTTCCTCGCAAAATTCAATAGCACTCAAGCTCTATCTGTAACAGATAGTTTTGTTGTATCCTTTTATAAATATAATGTTTTTGTGTAAAAAGTACCCTGTGAAACATGTAGACATAAGCATGTGAACACCACCACATGGTTCATAGAAACTAAAGCATTTGTTAACTTTCTCACATTCCAAATTTTACAACTGCTCATCTAGCAATTTTCTTCCAAAGAGAAAGTATCCTTGGGGTCTGTACTGTTCCATATATTCATAATAGATGTACAGACATAATACAGAAACTAGAGCTTGGGGTTAGAATAATACTATAAAAACATCAGATAAGTTAGTTTAGAAAGTCAATAGACGGCTAGAAATTACTGGGAGAGGGAGTACAGAGCAGCTTCATAAATCACAGATTTTATTAACTCCTGAGGCACACTACAATGAAGACTATATGCAGTTCTGCTCTTCCCAAATTAAAAAGAGAAATAATATAAATGAAAAAGGGATAAGAGAAAAACAAATAAGATTATTTGAAGTATGGAGCAACTCTGTGTGAGAAACAGCTAAATTCAATATGTCTGCTTGGCCTACAAGCCAGACTACAAAATCATCAGTAACAAGATGAAGAATAAGGTACAAAACACTAATGTTTCTCTTCTAATACAAGATGGTACCAAATGAAAATACCCTGTGTAAGGTCAGCACAGACAAAAAGAGATTTTCTTTGACACCATGCAGAGAAAACCAAAACTGAAAGTGTGAGCAGGTTAGAAGGTAATATAGTTAGAAAGCTGTAGGTTAAATTTGATGGAGAACAAAATCCATTAAGGGTTAATAAATATAAATAGGGCATCTTTGGTGTAAGGTAGGCACAGGGCACCATGGCATAGCTTACTGGAAGATCAGAGGATTTTGTACTTAGTCCAGGCCGGCCTTGGTAAGTACAAAAAGGATGCAATGAGGATTTTACATAACAAAGGGAAGGTGACAAATGCAAGCACATTCAGATGTTCACAAATCAACTAGATGCTAAAAATGAACAACACTATTATTTTTAATTCATCTGAAAGCTTACCACTGGCTTTCCTTCATCTGAGAAAAAAAATGTGGTGCATTGAGCAAAGCTGAACATAACCAGTTTGGAGGAGATGTCCCACACAAATTTATTTTTTGCATTTTTATTTTGGGATTTTAAAAAAAAATCAACCAACCAACTGGATTTTGTAGAGACTGAATCTAAAAAAAAGTCAGTAAGAGTATGCATTCCATCTGCATCACATCACCAGCTTTTATGATCACAGACAGAAAGGTTCTGAATCTGTATAATGAAAAATGTAAGTACTTCCAAGTCTCCTTCAACTTAATCAAATTTTATCTCTATTAAATAGAGAGAACAGTGATGCACAGTCACTAATTCCAAAAAAGGCAATTCTATCAGGCTACAATTTCACTGCAAAAGTACAAAAGTTCAGTGATACTATAACGGATTTTTAAAATATCTGAATGCATTAATTTGGATTCGACAGTTCAGCCAATAAAGGGACTTGAATGCCAAGTGTTACGAAAAACAATATTCTACAAAAAATTGAAGTACTGTGCATCCTGCAAAAGCTTGAAAACAATTTCCACATGAGTTTTAAAGCTACAAGAGCCAAGATTTTCAAAGGCAGTTTTATAAAACTTCATATGTAAATTCAGACAGACTTTTAGATATGAAGACATGTTTCAAAACTGCTAAGTAATTACATAATCAAATCACCGGAACCTGATCACCAATAAAATTGCATAGGGACAGTAAAATTGCATATGCCATTCCCACAGCAGGAAAGTTGGAACTAGACGATCTTTAAAGTCCTTTCCAACCCAAGATTCTATGATTCTATGCCTGTGGAAGCAATGTTAACCAACAAAATAACTCACTAGTGTTTTCTCACATCATTAAAATAAAACAAAAAATAAATTCCAGATTGTTAAAACAAAAAATCCTGAAATAAGGATTCATCAGATGAGCACTGAATCTCAGCTATCTAATCACCATTTTTTATTCCAACCTACTCCTGATAACAAAGATCCACCTTTATGTCTTCAGTATTATATAAAATATTCAAGAATACTTAGAGGACCAAATAAATTAAAATTTGCTTGGCTCTGTGTGAACCATAGAATAATGATTTTAGATTTGAAGTATAAATAATCTAAAACTATTCCAGTTAAATATATTCCCCATGAACTGCTTTATATAATATTATTCAATGCCTTTATTATTGAAAATTTGGTAGGAATATTTGTCAGTAACGAATGGTTATTGGTTGTAATAAATGGGAATAGATTTGAGAAAACCCAGTAAACTTTACTTGGCATCAAGACTGAGACAAAATGATTGTTTGACAAAATTGAAACAGCCAAGATATTATATGCCCTTCCTATTGTTCAATATTCTGGAAGTCCTAAACACAACTGCTATTGCTTTTTGTCTTCGTTGCAACACTCACCTGCTGTGCAGAACACCTACCATGCTATTTTCAGTAACATGGTAAAAAAAATGCAAAAGCCCTTCATCTTCTCTTTCTCCATACACACAACATTCACTCTGTCTGTTCACACGAGGGATGGGTATTAATGTGGAAACAGCCTGCCATCATAAAGCCTATTCAGTTACAACCTATTTATTAACCAATCTCTTGTGCTTCTTTTTGGTTTTGCTGAAGTTCTAGATAGCTTTCCAAAAGCTGCAATCAAAAACCAAAATAAAGTTATTGTCTATAAATAGCAGCTTTCTCTGAAGGTTAAAACCCTCGGGTGCATTGCATGTTTAACCTTATCTTGTTTACCTACAAACACAGGGGGGAAAAAAACCAAACCAAAACAAAACAAAATGCCAAAACATTCCTCAACACTTTTTTAATGAACGTTCCCAACATTCAGTAGAGGTCTAGGATTTTTACTTCATGTATCAGTGGTCATCAATCACTGAGAAAGCTCCAGGGACTTTACATATGGAACCCAGACTCACGAACACGACCTGTCCTTGATCTGGGATCTTCTGGATCACCTCAGAACAGATGAGATGTCAGCCCTGGCAATGTCCACAGCCTAAAAAACTCTGGCCTTTTTTTAAGTTTCTGTTTTAAATACATTTCTGTGGTTCAGCTTGCAAACAATTTGCAAAATATTCTAGTGTGATGACACATATTTCACGGTGGCAACAAAAGCAAAATTTTTCAGTTTTCTGGAGGGTAAAGGATA